ACATCCCTCCACCCTTTCCTCCTTCTTCCCCCAGCTTTATGTGCTGAGCACGACATCATACAGTATGGAATATCCACTTGGTCAGTTGGGGTCAGTTGTCCCAGCTGTGTCCCCTCCCCGCTTCCCATGCACCCCCAGCCTTCTTGCTGGCAGACCAGCATGAGAAGCTGGACTGTCCTTGACTAGTTAGCAACAGTTCAAAACATCAGCACATTATCAACATTTTCTTATCCCAAATCCAAAATACAGCCTCACACCAGCATCTATGAAGAAAATTAACTCTATCCTGGCTGAAACCAGGACAGTATCCAAATTACTTTCACAACTTCTTTGTATCAAAGCTCTACAGTTGCTAAAGGAATGCACTAAGAGGGAACCAGGAAAAATCCAGCACGTAGGGGCTTACAGCACAGTGACATCCAATCTATTGCATGGAAGCCACAGCTTTTCTAATAAGGGCAACCAAGATCCATTTTTCAGGTTTATTTAAAATTCTTAGCACTTAATCACTATGTTAAATCTTATCTTTGGTTTCTATTCCTTTCCACTGGTTTTACTTACGTGGGGAATTTTTTCTACCAGAAGAGCTACAAGGCTCAAATAACTTGTAATTCATGCCCTATCACTCCAGTTTTAGAGTACTACTTTGTTAATTTAGGATAGAGAGATATATATCATACAATAGATATGTATCATACATACATTATTCTTATGTACTATATATGTACACATCATATTGATGCAGGCATACACAACCTTAAAGATTAGAGTTTAAAGCATGCATCTGTTTAGAATAACATTCATATCATTTCCAACTTATCAAAACTTAAAGTTGCACTCCATCAACAGCTTTATCTTGGGCAAAGAAAAAAATGCAAATTCAACACACTAAGTATATAAATGCTAACATTTTCAAATAGTATCTATACATATAAGCATGCTGTCCTGCTGTCACTCAGCTTTAGTAAACGTGGAATACTTCACTAGTCTTTCATCTTCAGCAGTTTTCTTTTCCTCTAGTCTTTAGCTTGTTTTGCCAGATGAATGATTACCTATAACATTTAATACATCGAGACTGATTACTCTAAAAGAAAGTCTCTCTCTTGAGATTCTAATCTATGTACCCAGCCTAACACTATTAGCTACAGAGTTAAGTCAAGCAGTACTGTGCTGTGAATACAAAGATACAAATTTAAGTCAACAAGGTAACACATGTTGAAATTTGAATTAAGAAACTTTACAATGTTATATTCCTGTAGATTTATAAACTCAAGGCACTCAGATTAAGAAATGCCAGTATATTATACCTGCAAATGTAGCTCAGCTCTTTACATGTTACAGTATTTTCTTCATCAGTGGGTTCTTTCCTCATGTATTGTATTAACTGGTATTCTTGAAGTTAATCAGGACTATACAGTCAAATTGTGGTTTGGAGATGCTAACGTTTTTGCTGCATTAAGTGGAAGAGAAGCACTTGCTGAAGAGCATTTAAATCACAAATTACAGACTAGTCCTCTCAAGTTACAGGATAGGGGACAAAGACATAATCCAGACAATCAGGGATTTATGATTACAGGATGAAGCTTAGAAAAAATATAACAGACACGGAGCATCATCTATGTGACACCCATAATCTCTTACAAATGTTCACTTTCAACAAATTAAGGAGTTATTATCATCCAGCACTTTAAAATTACAGATATTTTATTTCAAAGTGTATAAAAACAGTTGTAGAGTCTTGAGTTCATCACTTAGGACACAGGGAGTGTTGGGAAGAAAAGGAAGATGACTCTGACTTTAGAAGTCATACAGTACAACACAAGTTTGTGGTTGTTTGGGTTTTGTGGGTTTGTTTTTTTTTTTTAAACCCCTCTGCATGCAGTGGCATGACTAATATAAACCCCATTCAGACCAGAAGCTTACACCTTTGGAACATGCAATAACTTGGACCATAAGCTTAATTCTTCAGAGCATGCAATAACCAGACATAAATAAAACATTTACGTTGGTTACAGGAAGAGTAGAAATATTGCTAGGTTCTTTATTGTGGCGGTAGCATTTAAATATAAATGTTTACTTTAATAGGCACTCAAACTAGGACCTTTTTTTCAGTTCAGATTCAGCTATTATCTGACTTCTAGTAAACTCTAGCCTACCACTAACTCTAACACACAACCCGTGCATATAAAGGCGCTGTTCTGGGGATTTGCTGGAGGAGGTAAAAGCCTCCAGTGGTTACCAGGCCTTCACCCCCATCATTTACAGTAACACTCCTCTGCCTCACAAGTGAAGGCAGGAAGATACAAAGCAAAGTTCATCATGTTGGTGGGGCAAGGTTCAGCTACAAACAACAGTGCTTCCAGCTTCGGCTATCACAGGGTGTGATGTTTATGTAGCAGGAGTGAAGTTGTCTCCTAGGTATTTTGAGCCATATATGAAAAGACGTGATTTTTTTTTTTTAATATATTAAATCTGAATGAGATATATGATCTAAAAATAATAGATAATAGTTCAGCTTCTCATGAAGTGGGGAAAAAAACCAAAATTAAACCATTAATGTTTGAAGCACTTCCTAGTTCAGGCTGGAGTTCATATTAGGTCCATGTTGGAAGTTTTGGAAAATTAATTTATTTAAGAAGGATACAAGTTTGCTGATAAAACTACAACATTGTGCAAACGTAATCAACGTTGCTTATCTAAAGAAGATAAGCTTTTACTTGTGCAACTTAAAAGCCAAGTCCAGACCACAACCTTAAGTCCAAAAATAAACACAAAGCAGTCTTGAAGAATATTCATGGAATACTGTATATTTATGAATTTCTTTTCCCAGTACTCTGAAGAAGTTTCTCCTTATACTTGACAGATGCAAAAGGGAATGAATTAAACAGTTAAACAAGATAAACACATTCACACACCTATTTATTCTGTTTTTGAACAAAGTTTACTTCTACATTTGCTAAGTATTTTAGGAAGGGTTTATGTAAGTTTAATAACAGTTATTCATTAATATTAATTATTATACTAAAAACAATCTCCTAAGATATAATCAATAACACTGTATTTTATATAGAAGGTTTTAAATCCAGTGAAAGTTATTACTGCTGACAGCCCATAAGAACATTCAGCACAACAGGTTATACCTATAAGGACAACCTGCATTTTCAGAACCTGTAGTGAAACTACAACTGACACTGACATCCTCCAACAATACTACAACAGATAGTTATTTTTGATGTGGAATGTTTTTTCTTTGTAATTTAAAGAATATGAAAAATATCGTGTTATATTGCAAAAGCACCAAGAAACAAACTGTTCTGCTTACTTAACACTCAGCACTGTATTTCATAGAAACGCCTATGTTGCATAATCCTCTGCTACGAAAAACTTTATAGAGGATGTCTGGCCCAAAGAAAAGTTAAATCCATTGTTAACTTTTGTAAGAGTACAGATTGTGTTTTTGTAATAAGTATGCAAAAACAACTATTCAGAAAGTGAGCTGTATTAGTGTGTCAACACACTAATAAGAGGAAAATTTAATCAGAATCACACCTTAAAAAGTTCACAGATCAAATAAAAAAAAAATCTGTATAAGTTTTCTGTTACATTAAAAACTATCCTGGAAGTTAAAAGCCCAAGATAATTACTTTCTGTTTGCTACAGCTTCACTTTCAGCTACACCTCTATTTTAATTACACTTCTTCCACCTTGAAGAGATTAAAAAAAAAAAATCAGGAGGGGAAAAGATGGCATAAGATTATTTCATAAATATTAGAATATTTTCATAAATATTAGAAACATATCACCTTTACTCAACATTTTCCATTAATCTGTCAGCACCTAATATACCTCTATATAAAGTAGAACGGCTTTACTTGGTAACACCTCTGCTATCGACACCAAATCCCTCCTTATTCAGAGCTGGAAGCTTTACACTTTTCTTGACACCTGGACAAAATAGGAAATCAGAAGATACACCTCTCCACTATATGCCTTGGCTCTCTCAGTAGTCCACACCCATTTTTCAGCATGAGACTGAGCAGAAAAAAAGCCATTTCTTGCCAAAGCTAGCTAAAGCTTCCCTCTCCCAACAGAGAAGGAAGACTTGACTCTATATGTTGGCTCACAGAACTTTTTCAGAATAGCTCAGTCTTTAAGAATCCCTGATGCTTAAGATTACATATATTTGTCAGCAAACATCTGCCACGCCATCAACTCCCATACCTCTCATTGTCCAGGTGCATCCTGGGGGGAGGGTGGGTGGAGAAGAAAGACCCTGCTTCTCACGTTCATTTCTCTGGGGTTTTTTGTTTGGTTTTTATAGCTTTCTATCAAATGCCAATGAGCATATAGCCACAAAAAACTCCAAACCCTCCCCCAAGCACACTCCAGCCTTCCATACATATTTATACATTCACACACACTTTCTACAACCCTCTACTCACACACAGCTACCCATCAGTTCACTCATATACACATACCCTATGCCATTAGCCTTTTATTATATACATACCAGAGTGAACACATTCACATCATCGGCTCCTTTACTCATGCGGCCGTATGGGATCTCAGATGCACACACCAGTCCTCCCAACACGTAACACACAGATCCCCCTCCTCTCGTTTCCCTGGACATACCAACCCCACACCCAAGCCCTCCAAGCACGCACGCACATTCTATACATGCTCACAGAACAAGTGCGTACAGACACGCATGCATACAGACTCGGGAGCACGAACAGCAGCCCTCCCTACGCAGGGAGGCCACCCCCAGCCCCACACACCCGTCATACACCCACGCCATTGTGTAGCACGGGGCTCGCTCTCCCGTCACGGAGCGGCTTCCCCTGGCTCCCACGCTGACGGCACTAGTTGCCCACCTACACGCAGCAGCGCACACGCGTACCCACGCAACCCTCCACGCTCCTAGCCCCCTCGGTCCGCATTTCCACGCACCCCCCCCCCCCTCCCTGCGTACCCACGCCCAGCTGCCGCCCAGTTACCGGTGAGGTTGCGAAGGACGGTGCCGTGAGCCCACAGACTGAGCACTTGCTGCACCGACAGGTTGATCATGGAGTTGTCTCCCGCTTCCACCTTCATGGTGGCGGGTGGTCCAGCGGCCTCTCCTCCGCTGCTCCTCAGCCAGGGGGGACGGGCGGCGGCGACGGCCTGACGACTAGGAGGCCGGACGCCTCTCGCCGCCGGACC